TTTTGGGACGTTCTCTTCGTCTTCATGGACGTCTTTTAAATGCCGCCAACGCCCGTCTGTCTGTTTTCGACACAGAACTTTGCACCAATGTGCAGCAGAGTTCAAGTCGCTACACTCCATGTAGCACACAAAGCAAGAGAAGAAATGCATAACAGAGACAGTAAACAGGGATATGAGACAAAAGGAATAGTAATAACGAAGAACAATATAGCTTCATTGGGTATTATAAGTCACAAGGAGTGGATGCATCTGCACCAACCATTGACAACGATTTTGAGCCATGTCACCGATCGTCTCCAGCCATTGGTTTCTACTATCCCGAGGACCCCAACCAGGAAATCTACACCTTCCCACGTGGCTGGTTTAGACTAATTGGTGTGGATTGCATTGACTGGTGCCATGTTTTCGTTCGACCACCGCTAGCTCTTTTCCAGTCTGATCCATTCTATGTCAGCTAACATTGCCCATCGAGGAAGGCAATGACTAGGCATGCGTAACACATGTCCTCACCATCTCAGTCGATGTAGTTTCACAGCCGCGTCGATTGATTTCCTCTCCTTACTTAGCACTCGACTCCTAACCTCAGTATTGTTTACCCTACTATACCACTTCACATGGGAGATAGAACACAGACACCTACGATCAAAGACAGCTAGTCTTTTCATGTCTTCCACTCTCAGTGGCTAGGTCTCACAGCCATAAAGGAGGAAGAAGCGGACTGCTGAGCAGTACACCCGCCCTTTGGTTGAAAGCAGGATATCACACCCATCTACAACTTACCGAGGGTTCGCAGTAAACTTGAAATGCAGCTGTTTGACTGTAATAGTAGGTGCAACTACTCTACTTGCGTCAATATGTTCAGAAACATAACTATGACGGCTAGATGAATGCATAATAACCCAGCACACACGTGAGACTAGAGTCCAAGCACGTGCTCCAAGGAAAACATCCATTCTGTATGCACCCAAACCGTCAGAAGTTGAATGCAATGTGACTTACTTGACCCCAAGATTAAGTATCTAGAGGAGAACACCAATCGTAACGGTTGTGCCCAAAGTTGCTGCTGGTTAGAAAAAAAATGTGACCCGTGAAAAGCTGCAAGAGACGGTCTATACTACCTGACCTAAGACTATCTAGTTCCTACTGGTTGAATAAACCACGAGCCTGGATACCCGAACTGTTCATTCAAGTCCCAAGCTAGCAGAATTACCTACTGAACACAGTCAGTTTACAGTACAACCTACCCATTGTCACATCCAAGTTACAGTCTATCGGTACACGGGTAGAGATGATGACTCCAAAATTTCTCGACAGTAGAGTCCATTTTGGATGAAGATGTTAACAAAATACAATCTTCTGGATATGTTGATAAAAAATATAAGTATGTTTGTCACGCAATTCACCTCCATCAAATGTAAGATGATTTTGCAAGACTAATCTGAACTGACACCCAGTTTGAAGATAGGGAGTGTAGTGACTGATCATGTTGACCACTCCACTTATTTTGGAAGTTGCATAACCCAGATGGACTGACCGCCGACTAAATCTCGACACGTACAGAAAAATCTAGTTAGCCATTTGCTAACTTGTGTCATTTATAACTCATTTTGATATCTGGTTATACATTAAAGGGGGCGTAGCACTGTGATCTCTCTTACTTCATGGCCGTGAAACATGGTCGGTGATAGCAGAAGAGATATAAAGATTACTGGTTACTGACCATAGGTGTTTGCGTTCAGTCTTCCATGTTACGTGGTGCGATATGATCAGTAGTCATATGGTTAAATGCATGCAGTGTTAGGCAGTCGATGGTTGTAAAGTTGTATGGATTGAGGTAGCTAGGATATATGTTATATATGCTGAGCCACTATCATCCTCGACAAGGAATGTTAGG